GTGTATGGAGAATGCAGCTTAATTCTGACACTGTCTACGGGAGACAGAATCAGATTTCACAGGTAAAGGGCTCAGTCCCACAGGACCACCCTCCGCTTTAGACCGACTGACTGTAAATCAGAGATTCCCACGACTTCCTCCTCCTCAGCTTCAATTAATTTGTTAGAACCGCTCACAGGACTCAGGAAAACCCACTTATTTACTAATTACTGGCTAATTATAAAAGGATATTAAAGGATACAAACAAACAAACAAAAAAACCAGCCTGATGAAAAGATACGTGGTACATGACATAGGGGAAGGGGTGGAGTTTCCGTGCCAGGTGTACCCTCTCCAGGTGTACCACTCTGCCCAGTCCCCACGTGTTCCCCAACCTGGAAGCTCTCTGAACCGTGTGCTTTGGGTTTTTAAAGAGGCTTCATTACAAAGGCATGGTTGATTAAGTCATTGGCTGCTGGCAATTGATTCAACCTCCAGCCCTGCCCCCCTCCCCAGAGGCTGGGGGTTGAGGCTCAAAGTGCCCACCCTCTAACCACACGGTCGCTTCTCCTGGCAAGCAGCCCCCATCCTTGGGTGGGATCCAAAAGTCACTTTCCTTGAAGTGTTTTCAGGAACAGAGGACAAGACACCAAATATCCCACTGCTACAAATTTTTTTCCTGCTCAGGAAATGCCAGGGGTCTTGGAAGCTGTGAACTAGGAATTGGGGGATTAATATATATTCATTTGAATGACCAAATATGTATTTTCCTGTAAATCGCAATATCGCAGCTGGTCTCTTGAGGAAAAAGCACATGACATTATTTGACTTGGTAACTGAGCTAGCTAGTCTTTTTCTATGGAACATCATTTTTATTTGAAAGTACACATGGCAAACTATGGCTATTCAGATTTAGGTATTTGACAGAACTCTTGAAAACACTGAGCTTGTCACTTCAAGGAAAACAACTGAGACTATTTGTTGCCAATGATGCAATCAGACCTTTAAAGAAAGAATTTTTCACTTCAATAAAAAAAAAAAGAACTTTGGAAAATCTTTATCTGCTATGAGCTTGACAGCTTCCCAATACCTAAAAATGACTTTTCTAATGAGACTGGTGGTAGTTTTTAAACATACGTATATAAAATGAAATGTGTTACCATTTGGAACACTGCATAGCTCAGTGAACTGTTTTCCAAATGACCAATGCATGATGTCATAAATCACACTTGGGTGAAAGGTCCGTTCAAAGTGCAGGACAGACCAATGGATTTTAATGTATCAGAGTTCAAAAAACTCACTGGTATGTTCTCAGATTCCACACTGCAACTCACTTTGAAGAAGCTACCATTTGTTGAATTTTAGGGTAGTATTAAAAAGAATATCCACAATTATCTGAAAAGGCTATTAAAAGACTCCTTTCTTCTCCAACTACATAGCTGAGTGAGGCTGGATTTTCTTCTTTTACTTCAACCAAAACTAAAATTGTAACAGATTGACAGCAGAGGCAAATATGGGAATCCAATGGTTTTCTAAGCCAGACGTTAAACAACTTTACAAAAATGTAAAGCAGTATCATTCTTTTCTCTGATTTAAAAAAAATTATTTTGGCAAATAGTTATTTTTCCATAAAAATGTTTATTTACATGAAATGGGTTTTTCTTATTTTTAAATGAATTAAGTGCTTAAATTTCTCAGTTTTAAGAGCTAGTAAATAGTGATCGATAAATAGTAACACAAACAGTAAATGCTGATAGATACAACCTACATAAACAACACTTTAGGGTCCTTAATAATTAGAGTATAAAGTGTCCTAAGACCAAAAAAAAAAAATCAGAGAATCTGGTATAGAGGCTGCAAGAGGGATCTGGAGAAAAAGGACCTAAATTCAAGTTCTGGTTCTGTCACTTGACTGACTTCAGTTCTAGGTAAGTTACTTACCTGCAGGATCTGAAGACAGACCCTGTGTTTCTAATTTTGGCTCCATCTCCTGCTGGTAGTCTGTATGACTTTGGGTGAGTCACTCTACCGCAAATAGGGATAACCTACTTCATCAGGTTGCTGTGAGGATTAAATGGGATGCTACTTGTGAAATCCTTACCGTTGTGCCTAGAACAACCCAGTAAGAGCAGCTACTATTATTAGTTATATTAGCTAGTCATCAGACAGCATTCTAGAGACGAGGACACAGTCCCGGCTTGCTTCATCTTCTCTGTAGAGAACAGAAGCTACCCAGGTGTTACACATTTGAGAAGGTATAAGTAAACTTGTGGATATTTGTGTGTGGCTGTTAAACTGTAAGAGAATTAATGTGTTACAAAAATCCCCTCTTTCAGCTTCTTTTTTCTCTCCGCTTCTGAAGAAATAACAAAACTGAAGAACATTCCCTGAACCCTTGCCCTATAATCTAGTTAGAAATTAGAAAGTATTTTATTGCATACCCAAAGGGACTGAAGTCTTCCAGAAAACGAAATACCCCAGAGATGTGGGCAGGGCTACTACTTGGGAAATTCGTTTACACTCTTCACCTCCGCTATGTCCTTTCGTTTGGACACAAATACCTCATCTCCAACCTACTTTGTGCTTTTTGAACCCTGTCAAGCTCACTTCTACATCTTTTAGAGATATCTTTTTGGCAGCCTCGAAAAACGAATCAACGCATGGGAGAGGGGGGCAAGGCCCTCAAAACGACGTTTTTTTCCTTGCAATTATCAACGGTATCGGTTCTCAGCACCCAAAAGTGGAGGTCTGGATAGACGCAGCTGCTGCTAGCGCCCGGTCCTACTTCTCACCAGGGCCGTGGGCCTCCCCGCGTCCTCGCGGATGCCTGTACCATCCCCGCCCATCAGTAGAGTTAGCCACGGGGTCAGGAGGCCTGTTTCCCCATCTATTAAGTAAGGAGGCTGGGCTGGCTCATCTTGAACAGCCTTGTTTTCACTGAAATTTGAAATGCTCCCCACCTGTAAGGTCTCATTCCCCATCCCTGCCTTCTAATGACCCCTGGCCTCACACCGAGATACCGCGCTTGGGCTCGGCGCGGAGGGCACTCCACACCACCACCTGTGCGCCCAGCGCTCCAGCCTCCGGCCGGCTCAGAGAAACACATCTCGCGCGATTCCCTCCACCTCTCGCGACACTTCCTGCCAGGGCTCCTACGGGCTCCGCGCCCCAGCCTCGCCTCCACGCCCCGGTTTCCTTCATCTCACCTTTGCTCTTGGCAGCCCGGCCCGCTGGAAGCGCGGTGGAGCCCCGAGTTGGGCGCAAGCCCGGCGGGGCCGCAGCTCCGCCCTGCTCTGCTTCGCCCCGCCTGGGCTCGGGGGG